CTCTTTCCACCACGCACATGTACTATGATCACCCAGAAGATCAATGTGAAAGTTACTGTACAATATGGAGTGCAATGTCTGTACACGTACCTACAGCTGAAACCATTTTGTAAGCCACACCTGTACCAAGATGAAATGGGCCAATCCTTCCAACCCTCCTCCCATCAGTGATTGCCTGATCCGTCACTATGTCATGCAGTGGAGACACCAATGCCTGACACACCTGTGGGCGTTCTGGCACCCCTCTCACTTTCCAGATCTTCCCCTTATACTAGACACTTCTCTGACACACCCAACCCTCCGACTGCCTGCACCATTACTCAACCAAACACAGAGAGCAAGGTCAAACACAGCTGAGTGCACGATACAGTTGAAGCTTGGGGGGACAAGAAGCTGGTTGTCAGGGACCAAGGAAGATCATGCAGTAGGAGCAAACTGCCTGGACCACTGTATTGTTAATTTTTAGCATTTCTAACACATACTATGCATGATGCTTCTATATTTTTCCACCTTTGTTTTGTCTGGAGTAGAACCGTGCTGTCAGTCAAGTGCTTTTGCTCTTAGCCAGATCTTCTGCAGATACAAAAGCTTATGTGCTCATGCTGTGTGTTTATCCTGTTGCTCAACACCCTTTCAGCCTGCAAGCTAATTCCAGATATATTGTCAGAAAAATGGAGTTTTCAAAAGTTAAATAAATCTGGTAAATTCCTGGGGAAAAAAAAAATCAAAAACAAAGACCAGATTGAGGCAGGGTCTGACAGACACTAAAGAAGTCTGGAGGGTGTCACACTGGGACACCAGAGCTTTGACATGGATGATGGTGAAGCATCTCCTAATTACCATGTACAAACTGTACATGGAAACATCTTAACCTCAAGCTCATGATTTTTTGTGATGAGTCAACCACAAGACACAAGCTGTAGGGAAGCAGGCTTCACAAGCTCCAGGGCTCACAGATTTTAAAACATGTATGTCTCTAGTACATATTTTTTTGTACAAAGTATTGTTTCTCCATTGCCAGGTAGAAGCCAAAGAAAGTTATTTCAGCTTTTGTTGTTGTTGCTGTTTGGGGTTTCTTTGGGTTGGTTTTTGTTTTTTCCTGTTGTTTTTTTTTTTTTTTTTTGAAGTGTGCTGAGACAAATCCTTGAGGAACACCTGAATGTAACTAGTATTTTTATGGGGAAAAAAATGCTGACAGTTGTGTTTATATATTGCCATTGAATCTGTACTTCTCTATTGTTAAACCCACTGGTTACTGTACCAAAGAAACTTGATTGGAAAGAGAGCATGAGCCTCAAAATTGTAGGTGTTGCAATGTCTGACTTTCAGGACTTTTGGCGTTAAACCATCATTCCTGTGTTAAACAGTGAGGTCCCCTGAAGACAGCCCAGTGGGAAGGCTGCTGATCCACTGTACGCAGGCATAGCGGAGCTGCCTGCAAAAAGCTGTAGGAAACACCAAGCACACAGGCATGGCCAGGATCCTGCCTTCTCTTGGGGCAGGCACCAGGCCCATGGATGCAGAAATCAACAGGACTTTAGGAGCTGTCCTGGTTTTTTCCAAAGTCAGAGGCACAGTAATCCATTTAATACGGTGGTATGGGTGAGAGAGAGTGCATAGAAACTGAAAGGGACGGATCAGTCTGGATATAAGGAGAAACTTTCTCCCCGTGAGGGCAGTCAAGCAGTAAGACAGGTTGCCCAGCGAGGTTGCAAGGTTTCAAATCCCAACTGGATAAATCTCTGAGTAACCTGCTTTGGGCAGGAGGTTGGACCTTGGAAGAGCCTTTCCAGCCTGAGTTATCTGGTGATCCTATGCTCACCCTATGTATAAACCAGGCAGATTTTTTTAAACTTTGAAGGTTTTACCAGATATTAGAATGATCCAAAACATCAAATATCTATTTAGACATACTGTATAGAAATGACAAGTCAGTGAGGAAGCACAGTGAATACTGAAATTGTATGTTTTATAACCAGAGTCATGTGCAGTGTTCTACAGAAATGGCAGAGCACAACTGTATTGTCCCTTTTTACTCTTTCCACACAATTATCCCAATACAATACTTAAAACATACAACCTGGCATCAACTTCCAAGCTTTTAGCTTTGTATTTACTGACATTTATCTGAGGAATTTTGTTGTGCAAGCTATGCATTTCCACTGGTGCTATGGAAATGTCATTCTGAAACACCATGTATCATCATATGCCTACATGTGTCTTATTGGTATGGTGGCATCCCAATCCTGACCAGCTGGGCCAGTCCTTAAAGTATATTAAAAAAAAAAGGTATCTTTTAAGGGAAAAGCAGGTAGAAACTATGGGCTAAACACTTGAGAAACAAGACAGGTGAGATGAGCTGCAGGGTGATGGACTTGGAGCCACAGGTAACCTGCAGCACCATAACAACAAATCTTAGAAAGGGGGATTTAAAAAACTGTAACAACTCAAAGCTAAAGAAGGGTCCCCTCCGGCTAACTAATGCCTATTTTAAACACTGAGCCTACCTCAGGACCTTCAGTAGATAGGGCGACCTAAATGAAGAGGCATTGTGTGATGGAAATTCATTACTTGTGATGATACATAACCTTTCATGCTATGTGCTTTAGGTAAAGCAATATGCTTTCATCGAGTTTAGAAAC